TCGCATTTGCGAAGGTTTCTGGGATGGGCTATGTTCGTAATTGCGAGGGCAACAGTGGTGGCAAATGCGATCCAGTCTTCGCATTTGCGAAGTGTTTCCCCAAGCTTCAGTGCCGCAATTGCGAGGCTTTGTTAGCAATTGCGAGGGTTCACAATTGCGACATATGCAACTGATCAAAAAGCCGAGGGACGGGATTTTTGAGTTCATTCTCTCATTTTTGAACCCTAGGCTCGGTAGGAGGCGATTTGGATAGGGGGTTTTCATCAACAAACCTTGAGTAAGTGATTCTAATCTATTTATAATCATATTTCATCAATATATCTTAGATTTTAACATCAAAATCATGTGAATCAAAGTAGAAATTTATGTAACTTTGTCAAGATTTTAAAAAATAAGAAATTGAGTTTTGAGAGTCGATTTGGACTTGGATTTCGGAACTAATCACATATACTCGGGTTTTGACCAGGCGAGCCTCGGGTTGACTTTTATTGACCTTTTGAGAAAAATGTAAAAATCTTAACTGTATCTATTATAATTGAATTTCCTAGCATTGTTTGATAATATTGAGTCAATTTTGGTTAGATTTGAGCCATGTGAAGGGCGATTTTAAGGGAAAAGCTATTTTCGAGTGTTGAATTGGCCTAGTTGAGGTAAGTGTCTTGCCTAACTTCGTGTGGGGGGAACTACCCCTTAGGATTGGTATTGTTTGATTCAATTGTGCTAAGTAAAATTTGGGTACGCAAGGTGACGAGTGGGCACACAAGTTGTACATAGTATTTGACCGGTTTAGGCTACTTAGACTATTTTCGTGCTTTAATTGAAATGATATATTATGTTCTAAATTCTCATAGTCAAATCATCCTTAATTGTGTTAGATTATTCTTAAATACCTTAGTTGACTTGTTTAGTATTTGTTCTACATCTTACTTGCTAAATTGCTCTCATGCTTTAGTTGAACTTGTTGCCCCTTTATTGTTACATGTTATCTCTTCATTGTTATCTATAATTGTTTGAATTAATTGTTCATGTTGCCCTCTTTACTTGTTGACTCCCATTATTTGAGATTCATTATTGAAGATTATTTCCTCTATTGTGAGCTAGTCTTATCTAATATTGTGGTTATACATAATTTTCTCATTGTTGAGTTATTTGGGGTTGAATTGGTGAAAGTCATTAATATATTGAGGCGATGCTGGTTATTGTTGAAACATCTATCTTATTGAGCATTTTTCATCCATTATTGTTGTTGGTATTCTTGTATACGTTGTGGTGGAGCCATGTGCTATTGTTGTATAGACATTGATATTGTTGTTGTTGACAAATTGTGATATGTGGGCACTAGTGGTGCAAGTTGTTATTGTGATATAATATTGATGCGTATGCGACGGTATAAGGTATGGGTTGATGTGCATGCGGCGGTATAAGGTGGGACTTATGTGCGTGATTGCTTGTAGGGGAACTACGTGAAGCCACACCGCGTCATAAGGTGGGCTAAAGTGCGTGTAGCTATTTCAGGAAAAGTATTTTCAAAATCTATTTTCAAATGTAAGGCTCACGCGGCAGTATAAGGAAAGATTGTGATTGAAAATTAAGAAAAGTGACTACGAGGCGGTACCTCAGTTGTGATTCTTTATTATACGAGGTGATACCTCGGTTTTGATTTTGTTATACACGAGGCGGTACCTCGATGTGATTCTTGTTGTTATTTCACCTTGCAAAGTGTTTTGGTGGGAAATATATCTGTTATTTCATTCCTTAGTGTTCTATCAGTTGTTGTCCGTACATGATCATTGTAGTCCTATAGTTGCTTCTTTTATGCTATTTCTACTGTTGATTTTCCGATATTAGATCATGCTATCATATTGTTCCGTATTAGTTGCTTTCTTACTTTGCATTTTATATCTGTATTTTATTTTATACTATCTATTTCATATCCTAGTAGGTGTCTTGACCTGGCCTCGTCACTACTCTACCGAGGTTAGGCTTGATACTTACTAGGTACCGTTGTGGTGTACTCATACTATGCTTTTGCACATCGTTTTATGCAGATCAAGGTACGTCTACTCGTGCCGGTAGATAGAGATTTTTCTGCTAGCTGCATTTACCGAAGACTTCAAGGTATGCCTACTCGGTGTCCGCAGGCCTCAAAGTCCCCTTCCCTTTTTCTCAGTTACTATTGTATTTTCTCGCAAACAGTGATGTACCAGATGCTTTAGTTATTCCATACAGTTCTTGGAAATTGTATGGTTGAGATTTTTGTTTTTAGTAGTTATATGATTTTATCAAACTGGGTTGATTATTTTGTTATTTACATTTGTTTAATTGTTATCAAATATTAGGCTTACCTAGTTGTAGAGACTAGGTACCATTACAACTTCCCACGGAGGAAAAATGGGATCGTGACACCGAATCACACTTAATAACTTCGGATTACTTCCAAATTTTGCACACAAGTTCAATTCAACAATATAGACCTATTCAAAGTCTCGGAATACCAATTGGTGTCCAATAATTTTTTTTTATATTAATTCCCTAGGTTAACTAGGAGTGTTGTATTATATTGAAATGATGGAGGGGCGTGTGGCTTTACCTCCAAAGATTAAAACACAAGGACAAAGGATGTCCTTCAAAAAGAACAGGAGAAGTATAATAATGGTACTCCCCTATTTGAAAAAAAACTACTAAGCATGCTCAACTAAAAACAAATTGCCTTATCATATATTGTTCTAATGGTAGGGATTTTCAATCTCTCCAAGAACAAAAATTGCCTTTGGAACCACTAGGAAACTGTTGAAAAGAGAGAAAAATCTTGTTCACAGAGCTGGACAAGGCAAGCTTAGCGAGATGATCAGCCACTTGGTTTGCCTCCCTGAAGTAGTGTATAGGATAACATAGGCTTGGTTCATGATATGTGAAGTGTCCTCAATAACTTTCTTTAGTTTGTATTTATTGGTTTTCCCATCCTTGAGCATATCCGTTACCAACGTAGAGTCGAGTTCGATGGTGAAGTTAGAATAACCATTTGTGGTACACCAGTTGATCCCAAAAAAGGCCGCTTGTGCTTCAGCACAATTGTGACTGCTGCAGTTTGCAGTGGAAAACAAAAAACTATAATGAAGTCGCCTTGATCATTCCTCAAAACTACACCTAGGCCTGCAATGTCATTTCCTTCTAAAAAGCTTCCATCTGTATTGAGTTTAAAGGAGTTGCAATGAGGCTTCTCCCAGCATACAATGATGGCCTCCAGAATAGGTTGTAATTTCATCATCTTCTCACATAAATTGACCCAAGGCAATGTTAGTTTGCAATTAGTATAGAATCTATGGATAGCAGCCTGAATGTTCCAGCATACTTGATGTCTCATTTTGAAGAAATTGAATCTTTTTTTATCTCCATATTTACAAGAACGAATGTTTTTTCAAATTTTCCAGAATATAATTATAGGAGTGATCTGGTGAACTTTCTTATGGATAGCATTGTTGTATTTCTGTTGCCACCATTGATTCAACAATCCTCTTATAGGTAGTTGCATTGGTTTGATTCCCAGAAGGGAGCCAATAAAGTTTTAAATGTACCTAGTTGCATCACTTTTCACAAAAAAATGTTGAATAGATTCTTGCTTAGGATTAGTGCAACAGTTATATTTTGAAATAATTTGCTTACCAAAGTTAAAAATAGTATCATCAAAAGATAGCTTAGATAGCCAAAGTCTCCAAGTTAAGAATGAGAATTTAAAAGGAATACCAAAATGCCATACATTGCTAAGGAAATGATCCTTATTTTTGTGTTCTTGAAGAAGCATAATGCACTTTTGTTGGAAAACTTACCATTATCGGTGAGATCCCATAAATCTTGATCAATGATATCTTGTTTTCCTATATGAATATTCATCATGTGTTGAACCATATCATCTGGCAACCATTCCTTGAGCTTGTTGGTATTCCAGATTCCATCTTGGATTAATTCTTTAACAATAGTTTTGTGGCTGCTATGACCAAGCATATGTGAGGATAATGAACCCTTACCAGTCCATTTGTCCCACCACATACTAGAATTCCCAGAGTTAATCTGCCAAATAATGTGAGGCTCTTCTTTGTCTCTGTCTTGTATCATCTTTATCCAAACATGTGAGTCATCAGAGGCCCTTTTCTTACTTGCCGGATGAGATCTTGGATAATATTTATGCCTTTATGAAGGTAGCCCAGAGAGATGGAATAGTTATAAATCTCCACCACCTCTTAGTTGAAAGAGTGTTAACAATATCATCCATCCTTCTCACATCAATGCCCCTTCATCCAGGGGAAAACAAAGGTTCTTCCATGATCTGCAATGGTATTTCCTTTTGTCTCCAGAGAAACCCCAGAAGAAATTGGAAAAATATTTTTCAAGCAAATTAAAGGTTCCTTTGGGAGGAAATAAGGCAGAGAGTATATATAGGAAGAGATTGAAGCATATGCTTAATTAAATTCACCTTACCACCATACGAGAGCAACTTACCATGCCAGCCATTAAGTTTTTTAATTACTTTATTCACCATATTACTAAAATACACTAACTTCTTCCTTCCAATATAAATAGGACAAACTAGATAAGTAAAAGGAAAGTCTTTATCCATAAAGCATGTACAATTCCTTATCCTATTAATTCTAACAACACAAGAAATAGGGGCAGTAAGGAAAAAATATTTATCAGTGTTCACAAGTTGGCCAAAGCTGGCTTCATATTTATTAATAACCTTCTTGATGAGGCTAATAGATTTACCATTGCCACTAGATAAAATGACAATATTGTAAGGATACACCAAGTGATTAATAAGAGGATCATTGTTAGGTATAGAAAAGGGAATAAAATTACGATCCAAAAGAAGATTGTTAAGAGAGCAACTCAATACTTCAGCATCAATAATAAAGAGAGAGGATGGAAGGGGATCTCCTTATTTTAGTCCTTGATTGGAGGTAAAAAGAGCCTTTTTTTTTATTTTCATTAACAATGATGGAATATCAAATGCCAGATAAGAGATTCAGAATCATGTCAAACCACAGTTCACAGAAATCAAATTTCCAAAGAACTGAGGTAACAAAAGTCCATGACATTCTATCATATGCTTTTACTATATTTAGTTTAATAACAACATCGTCACCCTTATTAGTATGAGAAATAGATTGAACAATTTCTTGCGCTAATAGAATATTTTCCGAAATCAATCTATCTTTAACAAAAGTACTTTGATTAGAAGAATTCAAATTGCTTAAAAATGATTGAGTTTGATAAAGAGTATTTTAGAAATGATCTTGTTTATGAAATTAAAGAGACTAATAGGTATAAAATCATTCAAAGTGGGGAGGCATCACTCTTTGGAATAAGAACTAAACTAGTGTGTGTGTGTGTAGAACTTAGTAAGGGACTTACCTCTGAAGAATTCCAGTACAAATGCAATGATGTCTTCCTTGATGATATCCCAACAACTTTGAAAGAAAGTTCCATTATAGTCGTCTGGTCCTGCAGCACTATATGCACATAAATTGAAGACAGCATGTTTGATTTCCTCTTCAGTTGGAGTGTCTTTAAGGGTGATATTCTCTTTATCTGTAATCCTGTTGGTGATGCATTCCAGAATGCTAGGGTCCAGACTTGATGCCGGTAGATTGAAAAGGCCATTAAAATGTCTAATGGCAGCTTTAGAAATCTTATCCTCCCCTGTAATCCACTTTCCTTTATGATTCTTGATTCTATCCAGGTGCAATCTTCTTCTTTTCTCTACAATCTTACTGTGATAGTAGTTGGCATTTCAATCTCCCTCCTCAAACTAATTGAAATTGGCCTTTTGGGTGATTAGGGAATCTTGCATAGTCATGAACCAAATGTATTCAGCATGAGCTTTATTGGTCTCTGTTCTCTCAGCCTCAGTGTTATTGGCAATCTCCAGTTCTTCTAACCTTTGCACTTTTTCTTCCCAATTAATAACTTGTTCATGAATGTTCCTAATAGTTTCTCTTGACCACTGACTGAGTCTTTTGGTAAGAAGCTTTAGCTTTGTATGAAGCTTCCACATATGGTTACCATTGAGTTGAGTGTCTCATACTTCCTTAACAAGCTCGAAATAACCATCATGTTTAGTTCAGAAGTTGAGAAATTTGAAGTACTTTATGTGATTGTTGACAATATTAAAATATTTAATGAGTATAGGGCTGTGGTCAGAACTAGTTCTCACTAAGTGTTTGACAGTACTTTTTTGGAATCTTTGAGCCCATTTGTCATTTATGAAGACTCTATCCAGTCTTTTCCAAATTCTTTTCCTAGGCCTCCAATTGTTTCACCATGTGTACTTAGGTCCTGAGAAACCAATGTCTGTTACACCACAGTTATCCATGCACATTTGAAAATCTAGACTCATGTGCATTCTGTGAGGCCTACCTCCAAGCTTCTCTGCTGGCTCCAAAATAATATTGAAGTGACTATCCTTTTTGTTGCTATCATGGAATCCATGGTTAGCAAAGATAAAATTGAAGGATATCGCAAATTTCTTGGTTTTAAAGAATGCATCTCCAACGACAATGGTAAGATTTGGTATTTCTGGAAGATCCTCAATCAAACCATTGTTATTGCAAATGAAGAGCAACATATTTCTATAAGGGTTGAAGATGGTCTGGATAATCCCCCTTCTGTCATGCCAAATGTACTTCCAGAGAAAGAAAAGTCAACTTTTGGTCAAACTTATGAATTCTTAAATTCTTCAAATTGTCAACTTTCGACAAATAGTGTTGAATCCTTCTAGGGATCTCCAAAATCGAATCTGAACATACATACAAGTCCAAAATCATCATACGAACCTATCGGGATCTTAAAAACTCGATTCCGAGTCCATTTACCAAAAATTCAAACCTTGATCAACTCTTCCAACTTAAAGCATCCAAATCGAGAGTCATTCTTCCAAATCAATCCTGAACCACTCAAAAACTAAAACTGACCATACACGCAAGTCATAATACATCATATGAAACTACTCAAAGTCTCAAATTACCGAACGGAATACTAGAGCTCAAAACGACTAATTTGGTCGTTGCATTAACCAAGAATAAATAATAAAGGGGAAAGTGAATCCCCTTATTTCAGACCTTGAGAAGACGTAAAGAAACATGTATTTGCACCATTTATGATATATGAAATACCATAGTTCAGAGATAAGCCTCCCTATGGCTTCAACCCACTAATCCTAGAATCTAAACCTTTTTAGCACAACTATAATAAAGTTTCATGTTATTCTATCATTGATTTTTGCGATGTCTAGTTTGATAATTGTATTACCTCCTATGTTAGGTTTTGATATCCCATGTATAACTTCTTGGGCCATCAGAACATTATCAGTGATAATAAGTCTCCCTATAAAAAAACTCGTTTTGATAATTGAAATGAGTTTTGGGAGCAATGGATTTAGTCTTCTACTTTTGGGATAAGAACAAAGAACCTAGTTTGCTTGATGCCTAACCAGAAGGTCTTATTGAATTTAGTCACATATTGTTTGATAACTTTCAGCACCTTTGATAAAATATGTCATTAAAACTATCAAGGCCTACAGTAGTGTGAGTGCTCATATCAAAAACAACTTTCTTGATCTCCATCTAACCACCTATTTCAGAAAGAGCATTGTTTTTCCTTTTCTATGATTAGTTCTGGGATATAATCAATTACTCTAATGTTTACAACCGGATACCTCAAGTTAAACAACTTTTTAAAATATCTAGTTGTTGCCTTGGACATCTGGCCATCACCTTGAATTCAGGCCCTTTTATGATTTTTGATTCTATATAGCTGCAACCTTCTTATTTTATCTTTGATTATATTATGAAAATACCTACGTACTATTGCAATCAACCTCCCCAAGCCATTTGACCCGGGCATTTTGCTTAAGTAGGGCTTTATGCATAAACATCCATCTCACATACTTAGCATGGGCCTTGTTTAACTCTACTCGGGATTGTTCAATGTTGGTAGATAAATCCAGTTCCTCAAGCCTACTTACCTCTAATTCACATTCAATAACTTTCTAAAAGTTATCACCAATATCCTCCCTGGACCAATTACTTAGTCTCCTCTCCAGAGTTTTCAGTTTCTGCTGAAGGGTCCACATAGCGTTGGTAGTTACCTGCATGTCCAGGACTTCCCCAACTAGCTCATAGAAGCCAAGTTGGTTCACTCCAAAAATCCAGAAAGTTGAAGTATTCGATGGCATACGCTTGATCTGTATCACATTTAACCAGCAGAGGCCTATGATCTGATCCTGTTCCACCAAGATGTCTAACCAGTCTTCTGGAACAGATGAATTCAGTTATCACTTATAAAGCATTTATCCAACCCCATCTATATTCTTTTTCTTGGACACTAGTTATTGCACCATGTGAATGTGGATCCAACATACCCTGCATCAGTAACACCATAGTTGTTCATATACTCAACAAAGTTAAAGCTTTTAGAAGCTTTGTGCGATCTACCACCTAGTTTCTCTCTAGAGTAATGAATGACATTCAAATCACCTCTTATGCACCAAGGCCTATCCACTAGAGGTTCATTATTGTTAAGGTTATATATCCTAGAGGTCTCTTTTTTCTGTTGATGAGCACTGACATATACAACAATGACATACAACTCTATAGTCCCATTATTAGTAGTCTGCTGCTCATCCATAGCTATCACATTAGCTATGTTGTCAGACAAAAAAAATCATATTTGGTCGTTCCCGATAGATAGGTGTTGGATTATGGGTCGTACGTCGCTCCATGTGTGCTGACCCAACTCGGTTAGGAGAAATAAATGAGAGAGGTTAAGGAAAGTTACCACTAAATCACAAACTTCCACTAAAGTGAACGTGCAAAAAAGGGAGTGGTGGGTTATTTTCCTTAACCGCTATTACTCTGCCTATTTATGTTAAAGAGAAAACTCAGAACTTTTTTGAATCTTTGGAATTTTCTCATTGACTAATCTTTTCTACAAGAAAAACACACACAAGTTAGGACATCTAATTGGTGAAAGATTAACTTTATTTCCTGGTGATTCGAAGGTTGATTTAAGGCAATTTATTTTGTGGTGGTTTATCTTCCTTAACCACTATTACTCTGCCTATTTATGTTAAAGAGAAAACTCAAAACGTTTTTGAAGCTTTGAAATTTTCTCTCTAACTAATATTTTCTACAAGAAAAATACACACAAGTTAGGAGAATTTTTTTTATCCCTAATTTTTTTGAAACACACACAACTGTTAATAGGTCTAATTTCCTTGACAGATTGTTGTCATGGAGGATTTCTTTAATCTTTTCCAAACGTTAAATTGCTATAGAATTGTTCCAGTAGTAATATTATTCTTAAAGGCATAATTGGTCCTCTATCTAGCTTTCTGAAAAAGGATAGTTCCCTATTCATATATTTATACATACATGAATTGAATAGAGGAAGTTATCCCTTTTATTCATATATTAGCTTAGCCATAATCCCTTAGATTTAAGTTTTCTTCTACGAGTATGTGACATATATTGTCACAATAAATGGTTGTCGCCATTCTTATTGTTTCCTTGGTCATATTTCAGATATGGTTGAATAGGGACACGTTCGAATTACTCCAAGTGGGAGTTCTCGAAGTCGAGGAAGGAGACAACGTAGAAGGAAACGTCGTCGCATGAATTATTTCTATAATGATTCAAACTCGGAGCCTAAAGTCATCAGGAATGTCCCAAGGGCGAGGCAAAATAAGTTAAGGGATCAAAGGGCTAAAAGAAGGGAAGGGGAAAAGAAATTTTAAGGAATTTAAAATGGGCCCTGATGCTTCCATTCCTGAACATGTACACCTTTTTCAATTAAAAAGAGCTGAATTGGCTAATTACATAGAAATTATTGATTGGGAAGCATTAGCTATTTTAGCGGACTCTCTTCGAGAGCCTTGGGGTAAAATTTTAACTTAGATTTGCACCTTTTAGCGTATATGTGCAAGAATTAGTATTCGATTGGTACATGGATGTCCTAGCAAACATGTAAATTATTATTATATGTTTTATATTAAAGAAATTTATATTATATTTTTTGTCTCACCAGTTATATATATTATTTATTACTTTATCTTGTAATGGATTGAAACTTGAATTAAAGTACACACTAAGAAGTGATTTTGATATTAATTAAAATATTTAGATATAGATGATGAATGAAAACGTAGTGACCTTTCGATTCTATATTAAATGTAGAATTAATATTATAAGTAACTGCTTGAGTGTGTAATCACATGCATAAATTGACTGCAGTATGTATATATTTATGAGTTAAACTTGTAATATTGTCTCTAATAACAGACATGGCATCGAAAAGTATTATTGCTGACTTGAACAAGGGTAACAAACTGGATGCTGAGAATTACGACATCTGGAGTCGTAAGATGTGGTATGTACGCGAAGAGTAAGATGCTCTTGAAAGTATTAACCATGTTATGAGTCACCCAGAGGAGGGTAATACTGCCCAACACATGAGGGATTTGAAAACTTATAATATTTGAAAAAAGAAAAATTCCACTGCATGTGAAATTATTGTAAGTTCAGTTGCTGATGATCTCATCTACGAATGTGAGCAATACCCTACTACTCAAGCCATGTGGGCACATTTAAGAGAGGCATATAAGGATACAATTATAACTTGCCTTCGATAGGTGACAATCAAGTTTGACACATACAAAAAGCGTCATGGTCATATTATCAAGCAACATCTAAGGATGATGTCAAAATATAATTACTCAACTCAAAATTGCTGGTCATATTCTCTCTGATGAGCAGCAGGATCAGGCAGTGATTCAGTCTCTTCCCAACAATTGGGAACATCTAAAGGTTAACTTGACCTACAATGATAGCATCAAAACTTTTGTTGATGTTGCTCGTCATGTGGAGCTTGAAGACGAGCGGCTTGGTGCTGTTAAAGTTGTACCTAGTGCCTTTGTGGCAGAATCAAGTGGTACAAAGAAATCAAGATTCAAAGCGCAAGAGAAACTGGAAAAATGACGGAAAGGGTAAAGAGACCGGA